TGGGATAAGCTTTGGCGACCCCCACTCGCCCACCCATCGACAACAGGAACCAGATAGCCATCCCCGCCCGGAACGTCTCAGAAGCCCTCGGGCCTTCTGCGAAGCTGTCTGTGTCTTTGGGGAAGGCATGATTAGGAAACGCCGCAGAAAACCAGAAGACTTCCGAGCCTTCTGAGAAGGCCCGCCCCCTTTCACTTGCCCCCTGGGTTGGCCGCCGTTTTTGCTTCCAGGACCCGTCGCCTTCATGCTGCACCCCCCCCCCTAACCTGACGCCGGGCGCCTTACCTGACGCCTGCCCCGCTGCCAGTGGGCTCTGGTGGCACCCTGGCCGGCGGAATGGCGGTGCCGGTGGGCTCTGGTGAGCGTTTGCGGCGCGAAGACTCAGAATGAAGCTCCCGCGTGAGCGCTGGCCACATTTGAGGAAGTCGAGTGGCTGAAAATAAATAAACAACGAAACATCGCCTGGGATGGTGGATGTTGCTTCTGTAACATTGACGGCGACGATGACGACGACGACGGCGGCGGCGACGACGACGACGACGACGGCGGCGGCAGCGGCAGCGACGACGATTGCCGGTGGCGGCGGCGATGACGGCGACGATGACGACGACGGCGGCGGCGACGGCGACGACGACGACGGCGGTGGCGGCGGCAGCGGCGACGGCGACGACGGCGACGATCACGACGGCGACGACGACGACTAACGACTATCGGCGGCGGCGGCGGCGGCGGCAGCGACGCCGACGACGGCGGCGGCGGCGGCGGCGACGACGACGACGACGACGACGGCGGCTGCAACGCCGACGACGGCGGCGGCGACGACGACGACGGCGGTGGCGGCGACGATTATCGACAACGACGGCGACGACGACTTAAGAGTAACGGCGACGGCGGCGGCGGCAGCGACGACGGCGACAGCGGCGGCGGCAACCACGACGGCGACGACAATGACGACGACAACTGCGGTGGCGACGACGACGACGGCGGCGGCGACGACGACGACGACGACGGCGGCAGCAATAATGTCAGCGACGACGACTGCGACTAACGACGGCGGCGGCGGTGGCAGCGACGACGAAGACGACGGCGTTGGCGTCGTCGTCGACGACGGCGGCGACGACGACCAACGACTAATGACGGCGGCGGCGGCGGCGGCGGCGGCGGCGGTAGCGACGACGACGACGATGACGCCGACGACGACGACGACGACGACGACGACGACGACGACGACGACGACGACGACGACGGCGGCGGCGGCGGCGGCGGCGGTAGCGGCGGCGGCGGCGGCGGCGACGACGACGACGACGACGACGACGACGGACGACGACGACGACGACGACGACGACGGCGACAGCGACTGCGACGGCGACGGCGACGGCGACGGCGACGGCGACGGCGACGGCGGCGGCGGCGGCGACAACGACGAAAACGACGACGGCGGCGGCATCAACGACGACGTCGGTGGCTTCGGCGGCGGTGACGATGACGACGACGGCAGCGACGACAACGACGGCGACGGCAGCGGCGACGACGACGACGAAACCGACGACAGTTGCGGTGGCGGCGACGACGACGATGACGGCGACGACGGCGACGACGACGACGACGACGAAGGCAGCGACGACGACGACGACGACGGCGGCGTCGGCGGCGACCACGACGACGACGATGGTTTCGTTGCCGGCGACGACGACGAAAGCGGCGGCGACGACGAGGACGGTGGCGGCGGCGGAGATGACGACGTTTAACGACCAATGTCGGCGGCGTCGGCGGCGGCCCCAGCGGCGACGACGGCGGCGGCGACGATGACGACGACGACGGCGATGGCGGCGACGGCGGCGGCGGCGACGACTACGACGACGAAAACGACAAGGACGACGACAATTGCGGCGGCGACGACGGCGGTGGCGGTACCGACGAGGATGACGGCGGCGACGATGACGACGACGGCGGTGGCGGCGACGACGACAATGACGACGGCGGCGGCGGTGACGACGACGACGGCGGTGGCGGCGACGACGGCGGCGACGACGACGGCGGCGACGACGGCGGCGCCGATGAAGACGACGACGACGGCGACGACCACGACGGCGCGACGACGGCGACGACGACGACGGCGCTGGCGGCGGCGGTGCCGGCCACGAGACGAAGGCGGCGGCGGCGACGGTGGCGGCGACGACAGCGGCGTCGGCGGCAACGACGACGACGGCGGCGGCGGCGGCGACGACGACGGCGGTGGCGGCGACGACGACGGCGGCGGCTGTGGCGACGACGACGGCGACGACGATGGCGGCGGCGACGACGACGGCGGCGACGACGGCGGAGGTTGCGACGACGGCGACGGCGGCGATGGCGACGACGACGAATACGACGACGACGACGATGAGACGACGACGACGACGACGACGACGACGATCATGACGGCGACGGCGGCGGCGGCGGCATTGGCGTTGGCGGCGGCGGCGGCGGCGGCGACGACGACGACGACGGCGACGACGACGGCGACGGCGTCGGCGACGACGACGACGACGGCAGCGGTGGCGACGACGATTGCCGGTGGCGGCGTCGACGACGACAACGACGGTGTTTGCGTTGGCGACGACGGTGATTTCGGCGGCTGCGGCGGCGACGACGACGACGGGGACGACGGCGGCGGCGGCGGCGACGACGACGGCGGCGGCAGCGGCGGCGACGACGACGACGACGAAAACGGCCGCGGTGGCGGCAACGACGGCGACGGCGGCGGCGGCCGTGGCGGCGGCGCCGACGACGACGGCGGCTGGTGCGGCGGCGACGACGACCACGACAGCAGCGGCGGCGACGACGGTGGCGGCGGCGACGACGACAACGATGGCGACGACAGCGGCGGCGGCGCTGGCGACGACAGCGGCGGCGATGACGACGACGACGATGACGACGGCGACGTTGGTGGCGGTGGTGGCGGCGACGACGACGACGGTGACGACGGCGACGGCGACGACGACGGCGGCGGCGGCGACGACGACGACGGCGGCGGTGGCGGTTGGCGGCGGCGACGACGGCGACGACGGCGGTGGCGGCGACGACGGCGGCGACGCCGACGCCGACGACGACGGCGACGGTGGCGACGACGACGACGACGACGGCGACGAGACCGCGCCGGGCCTAATGTAGATTGACGTGATGCGGAATCGCCGGACCAGGCCGCCAAATATTTCGGGACGGAGTAGGAAGAGAAAAAGGAGGAGAGGGAGGACGAGGAGGAGGAGGAGGCGGAGGAGGAGGAGGAGGAGGAGGAAGAGGAGGGCGAGGTGCGGGCGAGGAGGGGGAGGAGGGAACAAGCAAACGGACGAGTCAGGGGAGGGGCAAGAGGGGCAGAAGAGAAAGGAGAGCAGGGAGGACGATGACGAGGGCGCGGGGGGGGCGGGGCTGGGGAGCGGGAGGAGGGGAAGGGGGAGGAAAAGGAAAAGGAGGGGGAGGAGGAGGAGGGAGGACTTAACCAGGAGCGCGGGCAGGAAGACGAATGCAAGGAGGCGCCGGAGGGGGGGAGGTGAGGGAAAGGGAAGGGGAGGGGGAGGAGGGCGAGAACGGGGAGGAGGGGGGGGAGGAGGGGGAGGAGGAGGACGATGAGGAGAAGGCCGCCCTCGGCTCGGCCTGCTCGCGCGCTGGTTCGGCTCGGCTGGTGGAGGAGGAGGAGGAGGAGGAGGAGGAGGAGAGGAGGAGGAGGAGGCAGGAGGAGAAGGACGCGGAGGACGAGGACGAGGACGAGACGAGGATGATGAGGCCGCACCCCGCTCGGCCAGGCAGCGCGTCGGTTCGGTTCGGCAAGACGAGGGGAGGAGGAGGAGGAGGAGAGGAGGAGGAGGAGAGAGGAGGAGGAGGAGGAGGAGGAGGAGGAGGAGGCGGAGGAGGAGGAGGAGGAGGAGGAGGAGGAGGAGGGAGAGGAAGAGGGGAAACGCGCTCCTGCTGGAATCGTGCTCCGCGCCAGCCACAACCTTGATTGGGAATTGTTATTCTGCCCGAGCGCAGGTCGCATTCTTGTCTGGGATTGGTGCTGTCGCTTGTGCGCTGGCCACATCCCTCATTGGGATTGGTACTCTGGCCTCAGCGCTGGTCCCATCCCTAATTGGTTATGGTGTTGCCGGTCAAGCGCCAGCCTCATCCCTGATTGGGATTGGTGCTCTCGCCCGAGGGCTGGCCACATCCCCCTCTGATAGTGATGTTGTCGCCTGCGCGCTGGCCGCATCGTTCACTGGAAACTGTGCCCCCGCCTCAGCGCTGGCCACCTCCTTTATCGGATATGGCCCGCCGCTCGAGCGCCAGCCACGACTCCGATTGGGAACGGTACTCTCGCCCGAACTGTGGCCACATCTGTGTATGGGATCGGTGCTGTCGCATGCGCGCTGACAACGGTACTCTGGCCTCAGCGCCGACCCCATCTCTAATTGGCTATGATGCTGCCGCTCGAGCGCCAGCCACATCCCTGATTGGGACTGCTGCTCTCGCACGAGGGCTGGCCACCTCTATGTGTAAGACTGGTGCTGTCGCCTGCGCGCTGGCCGCATCCTTCATTGGGAACCGGACTCCCGCATACCGCATCAGCGCCGAGCACCTCCTTTATCGGATCTGGCGTTGCCGCTCGAGCGCCAGCCACGATCTTGATTGGGAGCGATACTCTCACCCGAGCGGTGGGCGCGCACCCGGCGAGTGCCAGCGGGGTGGGCGTCAGGTTAATTACCTGGCGTCAGGTTACATTCAAAAGCGCCGTGTCCACTGCTGGCGGGGGCGGCGTCAGGTTAGGGGCCCTGGCGTCAGGTAGGGGGGGGGCTTGTAATCAGCGCTGGCAGGGTCCATTGCGATCCGGCCGATACGATTCGAATCTGATTCTGGCGAGCCCGATTCGATTCGATTCCAGGGCTCCCGACGAGCGGATGCGTCCTGATGCTTTCTCGGCGCCAGTGTGCATCCTGGCAAAACCGATTCGATCCAATGTCGACTTCCGTGTCGAAGCAGCCCGATCCGACGAACGTTCCGATCCGAGCCGACTTCCTCACTCGAGACTGGCGGATCCTGCTCCGGCGGAAGTCTGCCGCCGCGGCGGACGTCCCAGGTGCGGCGGTGTCAACGCCCGGAACATCCGAAGGGTCGCCGACGCCTTCGTGGCCCACGGCCTGCATCGGTTCGGGTACGAGTACATCGGCATCGACGATTGCTGGGCGGTGTCTCGGAACAAGACCACTGGAGTGATCGTGGAGGACCGGGCGGAACGATGAGGGGGGGGGTCGGAGTCTGCCGTACACAGCAGTTTCCGCCCCGCCACCGGGCCCATCCCTCGACGCATGGGGGCCTCCCGGCGTCAGGAGGCGCCAGGAAAACCAGCTGCGTGAGCTGACTCTCTGCCCCATCCTTTGCCATCCTACACTTTCGTCCCCCCCGAGAGGACCCCGCGGCCTTCCCCGACGGCATGAAGGCCGTCGTAGACTACGTGCACTCGAAGGGCTTGAAGTTTGGCATCTACACGGACCGTGGCATTCGGAAAACAATAAAGGTACGAATAATGACATAACACAAAAAAAATCGGAGGTCCGCGCGGATTTCTCGGATCGGCGTTGGACCCCCCTCCCTGGCACGCGGAGCGTGCCAGGGGCGGCGCTGGAGGCGCCGCCAGGGGGGCCCAGCGCGGGTCCGAGAAGTCCGCGCGGACCTCCGATTTTTTTTGTGTTATGTCAAAGAATTGCATCGGCATTTCGATGTGTCGGAGCCCCGCGCGGATTTCTTGGAGCTGCGCTGGGCTCCCCTAGGCGGGGCCCCCGGCGCCGCCCCTGGCGCGCTCCGCGCGGGCCAGCGCCGAGCCAAGAAGTCCGCGCATAGCCTCAACATTGACTGCTTGTGCGTTTGCTCTGATGCTCCAGGCACCTCCACCTGCGAAGGGCGGCCTGGATCGCAGGGGTTCGAGCAAGTCGACGCCAGAACGTACGCCAGCTGGGGCGTCGACTTGGTGAAGGAGGACTCGTGCAACGCGCCCACGGATCATCAGGACAGGGGTAGACCAAAGCGTGGGTTTGGCAATCTCGAGGATCGTCTTAATTTTTATTCGTTCCCTTACGTTTTTTTCGTTCCATGAACCATCATTGGCCAATCATGACTTCGGATTTGCGCCAAAACGCTGTTTTGGAACATTGGCTGGGCAGGGTTCGTTTTCAAAACGCCGCAAGACGAACACGACACGAAAACGCAAAACGTTGTCTTTGTCAACCCCATGCAGGAGGCGTTCGCGCAGTATGCCCTCATGCGGGACGCCCTGAACGCAACCCGCCGCCCCATCTACTTTGCCTTGTGCGGCTGGAGCGACTGGTATGCGCCGCCAGGCCCCGCGGGCGCGCATCAAGGCGGCGGGGGCGAGATGTGCGGCCGCCCAAACGAAGGCGGGGCCTCATCAGAGGAGAAGCGTGCTCCGATAACTACGCTGCCCTCGGCCACGCGCAGAAGGGGGGCAAGGGGAAGGCTTCTTAGAAGCGCCCCAGCTTCGCAGAAGGCGCGGGCCTTATCGATGGAAGCGGGGCCCGCGCCTTTGAAGGAACGGCTCCTTCTCAGAAGGCTTCCCCCCTTCCCGCTGCCCCCAGTGCACGCCGCCAGCGCTCAACAGCTGCGTCAGCAGCGCCAGGCCGCCCCTTCTCTCTCTTGAGCTGCGCCTCCCACCCGCGCCCCCGCCGTGCTTCCGCGAGCTGGCAGAGCGATCATCGGCGCGTCGCGCCTCCTCTCCAGGCCTCGGGGAGGCAGCGGTGCGCGGCGTGCCTCGTGTGTGGCTCGGGGATTGCTCCTCCTCCTCCTCCTCCTCCTCCTCCTTCGGCCGCCCTCCCTGCCCTGTCCCATTTTCCTTGCACTGTGGCACAATTCGCTACAACGGTGCCCCCGTTGAGTTAGCTCTTCCGCCAGCGCAGTTACTCTGCCTAGCCGCCGACGTAAAAAGTGTGCGGGGGGGACGGTGATCTCGGCCAGGTTGCGAGGCGAGTGCCCAAGACCGCAACCCCGCGGCTGCCGGGGCGCTCGCTGTTCTTTCGAGTCTGGCACGACTGCGCTTCTCCTTTGGCAAGGTCTGGCACCCTCCGGTGCAACCGGTGGTGGCCGCGGACCTCTTGCGTGTTGGCGAGGCCTCGTCCGTGCCCAACTCGTTTGGTCTTTGACGCTTTGAGCGCCACCCACTGGACTCCGTCCGTGGTGGCGCAAGTGGCAGTTCGGCGCCACCCGCCTCTGCGCGGGGGAGTGGCGTAAGTGGCTTGGAACGCCACCCACCCGCGTGCGCGGTTGCGTAAGTGGCACGCAGCGTGACAGACACATTGCGATCGGGCTGTGTCGAAGAGAAGAAGGAGGAGGAGGACGGGGAGGAGGAGGAGGAGGAGGAGGAGTACGAAGCGGGAGGAGGGAAGAGAGACGTTTCCAGCGTTAACTAGACGACTCGGGGCCGCCTTTCGCAGCCTTGGGACATGCACCGCCTGATCTATTACGTGTGCCAACGCCTCACGCACTCCATCAGCACCCCTCCGCCACTGGCCCGCCGCACTCGACACACCATAACCAATGAATGAGCGCCTGCGCGAACAACTGTTTTGCAACACTCCATGCAATGTATCATGACTCCTGATCTACCTGAGCACCTAAACAGCTTGGAGGAGGAGGACGAGGAGGAGAAGATGGAGGAGTAGGAGGAGGGCTGAGGAGGTGGCAAGGAAGAGGAGGAGGAGGAAGAGGAGGAGGAGGAGGAAGAGGAAGGGGGAGAGGAGGAAACAAGACCTTGTACTGACTCGCCTCTGCCCTGCGGCCCCCGGTTGGCCCCAGCGCCCATGTAAGTTCTGAGGCCGAGCTTCCGATGCAAATTATTAGAATCAGGTACCCATGTAAATTTCGAGGCCGAAATTCCCGCGTATATTTTTGATAGATGCATGCATCTATATATATATATATATATATATGTATAGTCATTGCCATGTGAATTCCAAGGCCGAGGTGCTCATGTAGGTTCCAAGGCTGAGGTGTTCATGCCAATCCTGAGGCCAAGGTGCCCCAAGAAGCTTGCAAGACTGCGCGACGCAGGTGTCCATGGGTGTGGGGATCGACTAGAGTTGCAGCGCGCGCGAAGCGCGGGCGATGTTCCTATACTATCTGTAAACACACATGTACATCTATGTATACACGCACTGTGTATCTATAGACCGAGAGGGATAATCATGTCATCGACATCGGTATAGATGGCGAGTATGACGCCGGTCGCAAACGGTAAACTGCCCCCCCCCCCCCCGAGGTCCTCATCGCCCCAGGACATGCGTGCGTAGATGTTCTCGCCCCGTGTAGGAACCACCCGAGCCCCTCCGAGAGCCACCCGCTGCCCCCTCAGACGGCCGTCCCCGCTGCCCCGAACCCCCGCCTGCGCACCGCCATACCGGCCGCCACCTGGGTCGTCGTCGTCGTCGTCGTCGTCGTCGTCGTCGTCGTCGTCGTCGTCGTCGTCGTCGTCGTCATACAGGCCGCCACCTGGGCAACTCCTGGCGCTACGGCTACGACGTGAACACCTGGGCCGGCGCCTGGGACAACGCCATCTCCGCCAGCTCGCGGCTCGCGCCGTTCGCGGGCCCGGGCGGATGGAACGATCCAGACGCCCTCATCTCGGAGGAGGGCCAACCAAGATCTCCGGGTATCCTGGAGGCTTCTCGTCGCTACGGCTGGATTCGCCTCGGAAAACGGATCAGGATGGACCCCCAGATGGGTCTGGGGACAGATTCTGAGCGGACTTGAGCTGGGCGGGAAAGCCGCCCCGTTGTCTTGACCGGCCCGCCTCCGATCATCGGGTCTTCCCCGGGCACCGCGGTCCACATCACCCCCACGCAGTCGCGCACGCAGTTCTCCCTCTGGGCCGTCATGGCCGCCCCGCTGCAGATAGGCTCGAACATCGTCAATCTGTCGGACTACGACCTGGAGACGTACACCAACGCCGAGGTCATCGCGGTGGATCAGGACAAGCTGGGCATTCAGGGCAAGGTCGGCGCGTTGACAGTCTTCCCACATCTTGTCTCTGTCGCAACGTGGTTCCGCGCTGATCTGAACCTTCTTCCTGGGACCGTTGTTTGATTGTCCTGTGTCTGTTGCTGGTGGCGGCCGGCTCCCGCGGCCGCCCTCCGCCTCCTTTTCCGCTCCTGCAGCCCGACAAGCCGTTCGGGCGCTCCTGGCCTGCTAGAGCGCGAGTGCGGATCGCCTCCGCCGCGCTGCGGCGTAAGGAGTTGATGTTGGCGGTCCTGGGGCCCGGCGAGGACCCCCGGAGGCCGTTAATGGCCCAGACAACTCCCGTCGTGATGCTTTCGCAACGAGGCCCGCTCCCCGCGTTCCGCGCGGCACGCGCGTGCAAAAGTTGGTGACCAGCCGTCGCCGCCGCCTTCCCAGGTCGTCAATAGTCGTCGTCGTCGGCCTCGTCGCTCTCGACGCTGGTCGTCGTCGCGAGGTCGTCGGCGGCGTCGTCGTCCCTCGTCGTCCGTCGTTGTCCGTCGTCCGTAGTCTGTCGTCCGTCGTCGTCGTCGTCGCCGTCGTCGTCGTCGTCGTCGTCGTCGTCGTCGTCGTCGTCGTCGTCGCCGTGGTCGTCGTCGTCGTCCGTCGTCATCGTCGCCGTGGTCGCCGTCGTCGTCGTCGTCGTCCGTCGTTTGCGTCATCCGTCGTCCGACGTCGTCGTCATCGTCGTCGTCCTCGTCGTCCATCGTTGGCGTCGTCGTCGTCATCGTCGTCGTCGTTTGCGTCATCCGTCGGTCGACTTCGTCGTCGTCGTCGTCCGTCGTTTGTGTCATCCGTCGTCCGTCGTCGTCGTCGTCCGTCGTTTGCGTCGTCGTCGTCGTCCGTCGTCCGTCGTCGTCGTCGTTGTTTGTCGTCCGTCGTCGTCGTCGTCGTCGTCGTCGTCGTCGTCGTCGTCGTCGTCGTCCGTCGTTTGCGTCATCCGTCGGTCGTTGTCCGTCGTCCGTCGTCGTCGCCACGAGCGTTTGTAACGCTGTCGTCGTCGTCGTCGTCGTCGTCGTCGTTCGTCGTCTGCGTCGTCCGTCGGTCGTCGTCGACGTCGTCCGTCGGTCGTCGTCGACGTCGTCCGTCGTCGTCGTCGTCGTCGTCGTCCGTCGTCGTTTTCGCCGTCGTCGTCGTATAAACTGTTGTGTCGTTAGCTGTACAATTTTTTGGAACATCATCCTCGACGGTGCACAGCCTCCAGAAAAATCCGGGTTCTGGAAACATTGTTGTTCCGATGAACATTTGTTTGCGCTTACAATCTTTCAAGAGAAGGAAAGGGAATGGCAAACTCCAATTTGGGCCGCCACGCTGGATTTCAAGAAGGCTTCCGACACAGTCTCCCACGACGCATTCTGGAAAGCATTTAAACAAATGTGCACCAGCACCGTAAACCAACATAAATACCACATTGTCTGCCGACCAGACAGCCGTGGTGAAAACGGATGCGCTAAGCAGAGAATTCTGCATTGTGCGGGGGACGAAGTAGGGATATCCATTCGGTTCGCTAAAATTCAACAGTTTTTTCACAGCACATGTTCCAACATATCTACCCGAATTTGTTTAAACGCAAGTACGGAGTTCAGTTATCATGTGTCGGGGGCACTCGACTTACTGATCTCATATTTGCTGATGATGTGATGACCATTGGTGGTTCAATGACCTTGATCAAACGGATGATATCACACGTCCGGAGCGTTGCTATGACGACGGGCTCGGAAACCCACCCAGATAGAACGAAGGTATTACACAACCTGTGCTACCAGAAGCCAGAAACTACACCAGAATTCGCCGTCGTTGACGACGTGCCGATCGAAGTTTCGCCTTTCCCTGGGACACAAAAACATTTTGGCAGACAAGTTACATGTTGCGACCAAGCAAAAGTAGAGATAGAGTCGCGGATCAAGCTGCTTGGAGAAAGTTCGGCTTATTCAAACAGGAGCTCACTACCAAGGCGTACTCAGCGAATGAGCGGCTGCGCCTATCCAGCGACGTCGGCGGTGCAACTCTGTTGTGCGGGTGTGCGTCGTGGACATTCGCGGCAGAATTGGACGGCCAAGCTCGGGCAACCCAGCTCCGAATGTCACATCTGATTGTGAGTGCGCCGCGGCGCAGGTACATTGACGCGGCGGACGACGAAGAGAACGCCGACACAGCGTCCGCAGAGAACGACGCGGACAGCAACACACATTGCACACGTTCGTCATCCAGTTCGTTTTTCGACATGTGTACATACATCGAACCACGGCACGAGTGGATCCAAAGAGCAACGCATATTGTGGAACGCGTTGTTTCTCAAGCTGGCTACGAGGGTTGGTATGCATGCGACGCGCAAGCTATGGAAATGACGGTGGATATCTAAACTGGTGCACGACAAACACAAAAATTGAGTTGGAAAGTCGCGATGTGGGACCCGCCCTGCTGCGACGTGCGCGCTGTGAGGCTGCCGCAGCGGCCTCGGATGCGCTGGTTCGACGACGTATGTCGGACAGTACGAAGTAATCGTACCGATGGGGTCTGGGAAACGCTTGCCTGCGATGTCGAGCTGCGGGGGGGCATGGAAACTATGTGCGTGCGCGCATCGAACTAAGGCGCCTCAGACCTCCAGCTCCAGCTCTCCACTCTCCGTCTCTAGCTCCCATGTTTGTTCCGATTCGTCCGACCTCGGCTCCCAATCTTTGGGCTCCAGCTCCCAACTTTCCGACTCCAGCGCCCGTCTCTCCGATTCTTTCTCCCGACTTTCCACTTCCAGTTCCCATCTCTCCGACTCTGGCCCCCAATTTTCCGATTCCAGTTCTCTCCGATTCCGGCTCCCAACCGACTCCAGCTCCAATCTCTCAGACTCCGGCTTCGCCGTCCGTCCTGCGTCGTCGGTCGTCGCCTGTCGTCGTCGTGGTCGTCCGTCGTCGTCCGTCTTCTCCGTCGCCGTCGCCGTCGTCTTCCGTCGTGGCCGCCGTCGTCCGTATTTTGCGTCATCCGTCGTCCGTCGGTCGTCTTCGTTGTCGTCGTTGTCCGTCGTCGTCGTTGTCGCCTTTGTCATCCGTTCGTAGCGTCATCCGTCGGTCGTTTTCGTCGTCGTCGTCGTCGTTGTCGTCGTCGACCGTTTTTTGCGTCGTCCGTCGGTCGTTTTCGTCGTCGCCGTCGTCGTCGTCTTCGTCGTCGATCGTCGTCCGTCGTCTGCGTCATCCGTCGCCCGTCGCCCGTCGGTCGTCGTCGTCCGTCGTCGTCGTCGTCTTCGTCCGTCGTCGTCGTGGTCCGTCGTTTGCGTCGTCCGTCGTCCGTCGTCGTCGTCGTCGTTGCCGTTGTCGTCGCCGCCGCCGCCGTCGTCGTCGCCGTCGTCGTCGTCGCTGTCGTTGTCGTTGTCGACGTCGTCGTCGTCCGTCGTTTGCGTCATGTGTCATCCGTCGTCGTGTGCGTCGTCGTCGTCGTCCGTCGTTTGCGTATTTGTCGTTGTCGTCGTCCGTCGTCAACGTCGTCGTCTGTCGTGGTCCGTCGTCCGTCGTCGTCGTCGTCCGTCGTCTGTCGTCCGTCGTCGTCGTCGTCGGCACCGTCGTCGTCGCCGTCGTCGTCGTCGTCGTCCGTCGTCGACGTCGTCACCCTTGTCGCCGTCGTCGTCGTTGTCGTCGTCGTCGTCGCCCGTGATCGTCGTCGTCGTTGTCATCAAAATGGCGCGTCGTCGTCGCCGTCGTCTTCGCCGTCGCCGTCGTCGTCGCCGTCGCCCGTCGTCGTAGTCGTCGTCCATCGTCCGTCGTCCGCCGTCATCGTTTGTTGTCGTCGTCGTCCGTCGTCGTCGTCGTCGTCGTCGTCGTCCATCGTCGCTGTTCTCGTCGTCGCCGTCGTCGTCGTCATCGTATTCGTCGTCGCCCGTCGTCGTGGTCGTCCGTCGCCTGCGTCGCCGCTGTCGTCGTCGACCGTCGTCGTCCGTCAGACGTCGTCGTCGTGCTGGTCGTTCGTTGTTGTTGTCGTCGTCGTCCGTCGTCGTCGTCGTCGTAGTCATCATCATCGTCCATCGTCAGTCGTCGCCGTCGTCGCCGTAGCCGCCGTCGCCGTCGCCGTCGCCGTCGTCGTCGTCGTCATCGTCGTCATCGTCGTCGTCGCCCGTCGTCGGTGTCGTTTCGTCGTCGTCCGTCGTCCGTCGTCCCTCTTCGTCGTGGTCGTTCGTCGCTGGCGTCGGTTGCGTCGTCGTCGTCGTCGTCCGTCGTCTTCGTGTTGGTAGTTCGTCGCTTGCGTCGGCGTCGTCGTCGTCCGTCGTCCGTCGTCGTCGTCACCGTCGCCGTCGCCGCCGTCGCCGTCGCCGTTGTCGTCGTCGTCGTCGTCGCCCGTCGTCGTCGTCGTCGTCGTCGTCCGTCGTCCATTGTCGTCGTCTTCGTCGCCGTCGTCGTCGCCGCCGCCGCCGTCGCCACTGCTGCCGTCGTCGTCGTCGACGTCGCCCGTTCTCGTTGTCGTTGCCGTCCGTCTTCCGTCGTCCGTCGACCATTTTCTGTCGCCCGTCGTAGTCGTCGTGGTCGTCCGTCGCTGTCGCCGCCGTCGTTGTTGTTGTCGCCCGTTGTCGTCGTCGTCTTCGTCTTCGTCGTTGTTGTCATCATCGTCGTCGTTGTTTGTCGTCCGTCGTCGTCGTCGTCGTCGCCGTCGCCGTCGCCGTCGCCGTCGCCGTCGACGCCGCCGCCGCCGTCGTCGTCGTCGTCGCCGTCGCCGTTGCCGTCGTCGTCGTCGTCGTCGTCGTCTTCGTCGTCGCCCGCCGTGGTTGTCGTTGTCGTCGTCGTCCGTCGTCCGTCGTTCGTCGTCTGTCATTGTCGTCGTCGTGGTCGTTCGTCGTTTGCGTCCTCGTCGCCGTCGTCGTCCATCGTCGTCGTCTTCGTCGTCGTCATCATCGTCGTCCGTCGTCCGTCGTCGCCGTTGCCGTCGCCGTCGCCGTCGCCTCCGCCGTCGTCGCCATCGCTGTTGTCATCGTCGTTGTCGTCATCGTCGTCGCCCGTCGTCGTGGCGGTTGTGTCCGTCAT